CTGACTCTAACGGTAGGCATATGAGGAGGGAACCTGGAATCTGCACAGGACTTAACTGGCTACTGCCTACAAGCAGTTCCAGAGGTTTTGGTGTTTGGGAAGACTTTCTTTTGGTATTTATATGCATGTTTATTTTGCAAATGCAAATGCTTACATGTTTTATTTGTGGGAAACCCCAATGATTAATTAAAAAAAAAATAAAGGAGGAACTTTCATTGCTTTATCGTTGTTCTTAAACGCTGTCAAGTCAGTTCCAACTCATAGTGAACCCACATATAGGGTTTCCAAGAGCGGCTGGTGGGTTTGAACTGCTAACCTTATGGTTCACAGTCCAATGCTTATCCTACAGCACCACACTAGAGCTAGATTGTGTTTCTGCTCAGTCTTGAACCCTTGAACCGGGTACCTTTTACACAATAAAGGCTACAATTAGAATATTAGGAAGCCCTGGATGCAATGTGGGTTAAGCACTCAGGGTGGGTATTTCAAACTCACCAGCCACTCCTAGGGAGAAAGATGAGGCTGTCTGCTTCCATTAAGAGTTACAGTCTTGGAAACCCTATGTAGGGTTGCTATGAGTTGGAACCAACTTAATGGGCAGTGAGCTGGATTTTATTGGGACATTAAATCCTAAAGGACATATAATAAACTATAGAAAAAGGGGGCATGTGTCTCAATGTCAGGACCTTGACAGAAAAGATCAGGATCAAATTGGTGCAAAGGTTTAGCTAAGAGTAATCATTGGAATTGGCCAAGACAGATGGTCCAATGGGGCGGGCGCACGTTCCTGTGAGGCCCTCTGGTTCCTATGCGGACATCATTCTTCCCCAGCACAAATCAAAGCCAGACCAAAGAAGAATCTATAAAAACTATAATCAAATAAAAAACATCTCTACTCTTAAAGAGCTTTCTCATATTCCAAATACAAAATTTTACTAGACTCAAGCTTTTTTCCCAGAAAATCTGTTAAATATTGGATCTAAAGACAAAAATTATATGATTCCAGTAAATCAGTTGTGCTAACAATGTTGTTGTTGTTAAGTGCCTGAGAGTCGGTTCTGACCCACTGCAACCCTGATAGGGTTTCCAAGGAGCAGCTGGTGGGTTTGAACTGTTAATCTTGCAGTTAGCAGTCCAGTGTTTACCCTATGGTACCACTATATTGCAAACCACTTTGGACACAGCACAACTAATTTATTACAAAAATGACCAGGAACTGCCTAAGAATTCTAAACACACCAACTCCAAGAATGTCATTCTCATTCCTACAGGGTGACATCCCACCGCCTACGAAGCGTTAACAGCTGCCTGAGCCCTGAGCCCTCCATCCCCACCTGCAATGACCTGACTTCATGATGATGCTTCACTGAGAAAGCAGGAACCTGCCAGCACTGCACCCAGCTACCTCCCAACAAAGGAGTTAACTTTCAGCCTGGGGGTCTCACCCCACCCTCCATGCCTCCAGAACTGACTCTCTCAATTAACACCTGTTTCCTTCACTTCATCCTCTCTCCTCTCTACCAATCAAGCTGCCACATAACAAACTTTACAATCCACATTTTTAAAAAAGTCTTGTGCAAAAAGAGTAAGAATATGGATAAGCATGTGCTTACATTTTGTTTAAGCAATGTGGAAGAACTCAATACAGAAGAAAGCAGGCTGGGTGGGTGGGGGGAGGGATGAGAGCATGTCTTCCCTGAACAACACAAGTGTGGGAAACATGTAAATCAATGGCCTGTTCTAAAATGCTCACAAACAAAATAAAAGACAAAGTCCCTTTGATACCACGTACCCTCAAGCTAGCCCTCCAAGTCTTTGCTCCTTTTTATAACACACTTTCAGAGATTGTGTTCCCATTAGCTCAGGCCCTCAGGACGTGGACACTGCTCAGTCACCACTTCATCTGTGCTCCTCATTCTGCCAAACCCAGCATGCACTTCTCTGACCTGCTCTCTCAAGAATTCCCGGGGCTTGACTCCTTCCTCTTAGAAACACACTCCCCACCCCCTTCCTTTGGTGTCTTTTCAAATGGGCAGTCCTGCTGTGAGGCTGGAGGATAAGCAAGGTTGGTGCTCCTCAGAAACCCTATACAGGGTCACTATGAGTTGGGCAGTAGGGCTCCTCCCCTGCTACCTGACTGACCTTTGGCACATCAGCTCTGGGCCTTGCCTCTTTGCACCTATATTTCCGCCGCCAGTGAGGTCATGCTCTCCCTGGATGAAATGCTCTGATGGCACCTACAGACTCCAGCCTCACTGCTTTATGGAGGCCCAGACTGAGGACACACAGAAGTGCCTACGTGACCTCTCCACGTCGGTGTCCCACAGACATTCCATGCTCCCAGTCCTGTCCCTCAACCAGCCTTGTCTTGCCTGGTACAGGGCACACTACCTTTCCAGTTACTGAAACCAAAAAACCGACGCTCACCTCTCAGTCCTCCCGTGCTTCACCAAACATCCAAATCAAAGCATCAGCAACTGCTGTCCGTTCAGCAAACAAAGGTATACTCAATCTACCCATGTTTTTTCCTAACATCTTGTCCAAGCCACCAACTTCTTGTGCCTGAACTGCAACAGACTCCTGCTTCCACTTTAGCCCCTTTACAGGGTCTCTATGAGTCGGAACTGACTTCACAGCACTTAACACCACCAACAGGAGTCCTGGTGTGGCACTGGACAGCAAAGTCGGTGGCTCAAGTTCATCAGCAGCAACTCAGAAACCCTATACAGGATCGTCCTGGGTCAGAACCGACTCGAAGGCACTTAACAACACACAATTCACTTAGCACCCTTGGATGATGCCGTTAACATGATCCGCTGCTAGCTGAAAGGTTGGAAAAGTCCACCTGGAGGTGTCTCAAGAGAAAGCCACTGCGATCTAGTTCTGAAAAACCAGCCTCTAAAGGCCCAACAGAAGAGCACAGTTCTACTCTGACACAGAGGGGCCACCATACTCAGACTCAATGGCAGCAACTGGCTACAATTCATTCTCTTCCTTGAAGCCAAATCATTCTGCTACCATCGCTAAAACAAACATCAACAACAAAAGGCCTATAACGGCTTCCTAACACTGTGAGTATAAAATCTAAACTTGACCATGGCCTACGAGTCCCTGAATGCTGTAGCTCTGCAATCTCAGTGGACACCACAATCTCACTCCCCTACTTGTTGGACTCCAAGCTTTACCACCTCCCTCTGTGTTTCCAGGGCTGTCTCACCTCCAAGCCTCAGCACCCACTGCATCCTCCAGCCTCAGCTTAAGCATCACCGAGCGCCTCCTGCCCTGACTCACACTCCACCAGCAGAGCACTTGCCCCATCTCTGTCCTCAACTAGAAGTTATGCTTCCTGAGGGAGGACTCATGCCCTTCTTGTGCACCCTGCAGCTACCAGTCTCAGCACAGCACCTGCCACAAGACAGGCTTTCGGGACCAAGTATTGAAGATAAGAATGAAGATAAAAAAAAAAACGAACAAAGGAACCAATCACCTGCTGAAGCAGGCGTTAGCATATGATGGTTCTTACATTTCCTTTGGAGTCCTGGTGTGGTGCTGAGGGATAAAGCCCTGGACAACAAAGCCAGTCTGAACCATAAGGCTGGCAGTTCAAACTCACCAGTTGCTCCTTGAAAACCCTATACAAGGTTGCTATGAGGTGGAGCGAACTCTACAGCACTTAACATTTCTCTTATTACAATGAACACTAGATATCAACATGGTGAAATAGGGGTTCTCCAACAAGGTAAACTAGAAGTGCAGAGCACATGACCAGGTTCTGGAGAAATACAAAGAATCTTGAAGTACTTTAAAAACATGTTTGGGAAACAGTATGCTTCAGTACTATGTGTGCTTACTTATTTTGGAGGGAGGGGTCAGGATTTTAAAGACCACATTTAGTAGCTCTCATATAATTTATCATAAAAGGAGCATCATTCATGTAAGTTAATAATGCTCCCAAACAACTCTGCTAGATGCGCAGAGTGCCAGGGCACTCCTAAACACGATGGAGTGGACCTCGTGGTGTTCAAGAAAGCCCAGGCTATCTGCCACACAGTGAAAAGGAGAGTGGATTCCAAACTCATTTCAAATGTAAAAGCAGAGGCACTTCAGTGACTCCAATGAATACATAAAATACTCCTGAAAAGCTGGCTTTCTGCCAGAGCAAGAGACCAAGTGGTCGCATACACAGCACAGACTTCCAGCATCTCTTCCCCTCTCAGTGACTGGCCACCTCCTTAAAGCAGAGACTGGAGCTCACCATTGCATTCAGCTGGGAGTTGCTTGCCTGAGCAATGCCAAGAATGTTGGTGGTGTGCATCACTTCCACAGAGAAACTCGGCAACCAACTGGCAATCCGGGACCCTGAAACACACGAGACTTGCATGAGCTCGAAAGCCCCACTCAGTGTCTGTAAACTCCCCTCTCCAGAGCAGGCCCCTCAATATGACGAAACACTACAACTCACTGAAGGCTGACTTGAGGCGGGTCTTGTGCCAAGTGTTTCATATGGATCAGCCCACTCTATCCTTACAAAGCACCACATGATCCCTTCTTCCTAACAGTATCCCCAGTTGAATCTTTTCAGATTTGGCTCTAGTCCCTCTTTGTCCTTGGTCTCTGAAGCCCTCAGAAGTCTGGGAAGTTGCTCAAGGTCACAGTTAGCAGTTACGGTGGTCAGAGTCAGCTTCCAGAACACTTTACCACGAGGCTTTCCTGCCACCCAAGAATCCCTGATCCACACCAGCACCCCCTCTAGGCTGAAAATACAGAAAGGGTTTTCAGGGCTCTAAAGCTGCTGGAGTCCTGGTGTGGTGCTATAGAACACTGGACTGCTAACTGCAAATTCAGTGGTTCAAACCCACCAACTGCTCTCAGAAACTTTTTGCAGAGCTGCTGTGAGTTGGAACCAACTTGATGTCACTTAACAACAGGGAGAAATAATAAAGTTTTTCACTAAGTTTTTAGTAAGAATAAGTCATTAAAGAATGGATTGTATAGCCAGGTGCCACCTTTGAGATATGCTATCATATCTCACAAGTCTTACACGGGAAATGATTTAATAACCACCCACCCAGCCCTCTGCAAACCCCACCAGCAGCCCCTACTCTTCCACAGTCCCTTTGGTCCTTCCTTTCAGGGGTTTCCCCAATGTGCCACCATGCTCTTAAAATGGATATCAGAGATTGAACACTACTCCTTCCAACACCATTCCAGGGATGCCAGTTTGACAGCAGTATTAGAACTAGAAAGCCAGAGAATGTGGTGGACCTGATGCACATCAACAGCATCTCAGTGCAGCATGAACTAAGGAAGGATGATCAATCAGTCCCTTAAGTGGGGCCCCTGGCCTTAGAACTTGAAGTGAGGCTTTTATTACAACTCTTTTCAAACACTGCTAGGAGGCACAACATTCATATTTCATGGACAAAGAAATAGGGTTACAGCTCAATTCTGCTGCTGGTACTCCCTGGAAAAGTGGCTCAAAGACCCTTCATTATACGCAGAAGTATGTCATCAGCACAGTCAGTTTGAGTAAGGCTAGCTATTAACCTGAGTAAGCATGCTCCATGGAGGCACGGTTGGTTCACTTAACTACTTCCACACTTAGCCCGCCCTTGACCAGAGTCACACAGAATCTAGCAAAATGCCCAACAAACTAACTCCTCAATATGTCTATACTTACTGGGCACTTTCAATTAAAAGTGAAATATAATATGAGGCTGACCTCTACAGAGCAATTTATAATGAAAACATTACTCCCTTTAAGGGGGCAACTCCTTTGGGTATAGATTTAGAGGTTGAAACCAACTAACCATCAAAGTGAAAGAAGTGATTGTGTTGGTTTAAGCGAGGCCTGCCTTCGGCTACTGCCACAGGAACCAAGTTTTCATCCAAGTTCTCTCCTTGATGGTCCTCCCTGACACGGTTACTGTCAGCAATATTAAGAGACATTCGGCATGTTGGACAGGAGGTGTCTTGTTCTAGCCAGGAACGAAGACAGGAGCTAGCAAAAAAGTTCACAATAAGATATATATGAACATGTTTAATTTCCATAATATGTCACCAAAATTTATAGAAGTACTCTGAATATATCAAACGTGTTCCAACTTTACTTTCTATTTACCACCAGTGAACTTCAAATGTTGAGAAAACTCGAGCATGAGCTTGTTGACATTCCTCATTGCCCTACTTCACTGTACTACATGTCTAGTGGCTCCTGCTGTAAACACTAATTCTTTCACGGACACGGTCCGTCTAGTCAGCTCCTGGCAATGAGCCCTCTTCAGTAAGACATGGCTCACCATCTGTCATTCTAACGTTATGGCTGCTTCAGAATCCATATGACTGAACCAGCTGCCCTTATGTTCTTGAGTCCTCTACTCCAAAATCATTTTTCCACTCACCTTAGCTATGACCATTGATAAGGTCATAACTTTGGCTGTACCGTCAAAATCTTGACTCTAAAGTTCGTCTCCTCCCAGCTGATTTCTCTGGGACCCACACTTGTGAAGACCACGCACCCACTGATAACACTTGTTCATCACTTCACTCCTCCCCTACCTTACTTTGCACACCTCACCTCAACCTCCTTAACCCTCTTCTATTTGCATTCTGCTATCCTAATGATGTAAGGAGCTCTGGCTGCTAACCTGAAGGTCAGCAGTTCGAAACTACCACCTGTTTTGCGGGAGAAAGATGAGGCGTTCTACTCCCATAAAGATTTACAGCCTTGGAAACCCTTTGCAGGGTCACTATGAGTCAGAACTGACTCCACGGTACTTAACAACAACAATAACAAATCCTAATGATGTGGGAACCTTCTTTTGCCTCTTCTAGGAGACTGTAATGCTCTCATTATGAAAACACCTGATAAACACTTGTGGTGTCAATTAAAGGGAAGGGGACTAGAACAAGGTGTCGAAAATGTGAACTCTTGTCCCAACTCCACCACTAACTAGATGTGTAACCCCAGGCTGATCCTTCAGCCTCTCTGGACTAATCCTTCCTACTGAAAAAATGAGAAAATTAAGGAAGTGATCTCTAAGGCTTTCACTGGATGCTAATTACTGTGATCTCAGGAAGCACTGACTAAAAGCCCCACTTGCTGTGTGTCTGTGTTTCACGGTTTGCAGTCTCTTAGAGCCCAAACGAAGGGATCTAGAAACCCTGATCATCACGTGCTGACCCTCAGGGTCTCTGACAACTGTACTCTCCCACTTCTTACTACACCTCTATACCTTCAGAGTGGGCAACAGGAATGTTCCAAAACAAAGAAATCTATCTGTGTGTTCACAGAACTCTATTACATTCTAAAGTAATCCAGTACCTGTCATTCCTGTTTGTGATAATTCAAGTATTAAATATTAGCTCAGTAACTAATTAAAGTCCACTTTCCCTTAATGAACACTTAAATTACAACACTAGTATAACTAGCCTGGTAGGGGACTATAAAAGTTGCAATATTGCGACATTATATTTCATAAGCAGTTCTCATCTTATTTCATAGACCACACAAACCTCCTACATTAAACAAAATAAAATAGCCTAAAAATCCAGGGGTGAAAGTTGAAAGAAACAAAAGTTCAGAGAAAACAGGTCTTTTTCTATATAACTCTAATAATATTCTATTAATAATGTAATTCCTCCTTCTAAGAACGGTACCTCAATGTAATTAAACATTCAGTGGGTCTAAAACCTTGCAAAGACATCTTCAATTACAATCAATTATCTAGCTCTAATCTGCTGGAATTAATCAAAGAAGACAGTGAAGTTGCTCTCAGATAAGCATCACATGAACCTGCTCCCACTCTACTAACCAAAACTACAAAGTAAAAGCAAACCAAGAGATGTCCTAACAATGGCTTGCTCATTCAACACAAGACAGACAGGGGTTTTTAACTGAATCACAAAATTAATTCACGCATATGATTGAAAGCATTTCCTCTGGGCTAAAATGTACTCTTTGATTTCTTCTTCCCAGCTAGCCTCTCTCTCCAAGCTCCTTGAGGATTAGGAGAAGTGCGTGTGAATTCCTTGGTCTTCCCGGCCTCAGCGAGCAGCACCACCTCCCAGCCAAGTGCACAAACCACAACTCTAAACAATTCCCAGATACCACCTTTATTCCTCACTTCCCTACATCCATCCAGCACCGTATCCTTCCTAAGCTCTCTCAGATCTATCCACTTCTCTCCAACTCCACTGTGGTCTGGGCCATGGAATAGGTACCGGCTAGTTCCTCTGCAACCAGTGAATGCCAATCAGATCGCACCCCAAAACCTTCAGGGGCCTCTCTCTCCTCCCAATGGCCTCCCAACTCCTGCACCTGCTTCTGCCTCCGCTAACACCACTCCCTCTTACACTGAGTTCTGACCACTGAGGCTCTCATTTCACTCCTATGGCACCCCACATATCTCCTCTGTCTCACTCTTTTCATCTGACCATTCCCTTCACTGACTTCAATTAACTCCTACTCATCTTCAAGTTGCTAACCAAAGATAGGCAGTTCAAACCCACCAGCCATTCCTTGGAAACCCTATACAGGGTCACTTGGAGTCAGAACTGACTTTGTTGTTGTTAAGTGCCGTGGATTCAATTCCGACTCATAGAGTTTCCGAGGGGCAGCTGGTGATTTGAACCGCTGACCTTATTGTCCAGTGCGGATCCTACTGAGCCACACCAGGAGTCCAACTAGATGGCACTTAACTACATCCTCAAGTCACCTGCTCAGGGTTTGAATTCGGTTTCTTTGTTACAAATTCATTACAAGTTCTTAAGACTCACATTCCTTTTTTTTAGAGCACTTAAGTACTTCAACCTGCACTTATACATTCATAATGTGACTGCTTACTTCAGGTTTGTCTCCTCCACTCAACTGTAAGCTCTGTGATAGCAAAGATCCTGTCTGCCATTTTCATTGTACTCCCAGGGCCAATGCACACCTAGCACATATGCATCTGCCAAACCATTTGTTGGCTAATGCTGTAACTCCACAGACCTTCTAATTTTAAAAAGGAGGAGAAAGTCGATGTGAGAATATGAGACAAGGAGTGGAAGATCAAAGATGCAAAGAGCCAAACTTTCTCAGTGAGCCTCGACCACTTCTTGTTGTGAAATGCCGCTGAGTTGGTCCCAGTTCATAGCGACCCTGCATAGGGTTTCCAAGGAGTGGCTGGTGGTTTTGAACCGCTGACCTTGTGGTTAGCAGTCCAGTGCTGCTCCCACAGCGCCACACCAGATCTATTTCAATCTGGAAGGACTACATAAGCTCTTATTTCTCATCCTTGGCAGCACCAGTCAGTTCTTCTGGACTGTTTTGCGGTTCAGGTCCAATCATCGCAGCCCACTTCTCTGGTGTGTGTTTCATGATGCTCTTGGGCATGTGCAAAATGCAAAAATACAGACTTCCTCTCCCCAGCTAGGTCATGACTATTGAAATTAAGGATTCCCCCATCCCTGTCTTTTCAATCTTACAGACTGGACCTCAGAGCTGAAGTGCACAAGGAATACGAAGATAGCTAACCTATCCAGCTGATAAGAAGCGTGGGCATGTGCACAAGAACACCCACACTTGCAGATAATACCCACTTGACCTGGCTTCAATGACTGGAGGATCAGAACTCAAATAGAAGAAGAAAGAAGAGGGGGAAAAAAAGAGTAATCTGATACAATTTGATGAATCTGACCTACACCTATGGATGCAGAAGCTCAAAAGAGGGAATAAATCTTTACAGTGAGGATCATTCGCATTCCCTTCACACACAGAATAGACAGGGATGGGCAACTTGGACACTGGCTACCCAAAATTCGGGGTGGGGGAAGCTACAAAGACAAGAAGTGACTGGCTTCTACAATGTTCAGTGGACTTCTGTGGACCCAGTTGGGGGCATGGTTGGCAAGCAGTGTGAAGAGGCCTGGGGACTCTTGGGCCCAGAGACAGTGGTGTGGCCACGGAGGACTCGAGAGGAGAGTGGAGCTACCGACTGACAGGAAGAGAGGACATATGCACAGGAGTGCCCACGTGACCTGAACCGGATGACTGGATGATCGGAGTTCAATCAGGAGAGGAAAGAAGGCGGGGGGGGGAGTGAGCTGATACAGTCTGATGAACTTGACCTATACCTATGGAGCAGCGACTCAAAAGAGGGAACAAATCCTCACAGCAAGAAACATTCACACCCCCTTACACACACAGAGTGGATGGAGAAGGGCAGCTTGGACATTGGATACTCAAATGGGGAGATGGGGACTACAAAGGCAAGAAG